CCAACTGGCATGTCGAACACTTCTTGTCGCGGGATACGTTTACGGGAGAACACTTCGTAACTTTAGCTGTAATAATATACATCACAACATGTGATATCGGATTATTCTGCGTCGTAACGATCAGTCACGTGAGTAGATATTTACATTCATTTGATTTTTATCAATATTTAATATATGTGTCTTGGTAATTTGTTACATTGTCGGTAATTACGCGACCAAGAAGTTAAGTAGAAAGCAAATAGTCCTCATCACTAATATCGACATCGGAGCAAAACGAGTTTTATTAATCGTTAAAGCCTACACAGGTTAAATCAGTTGTATTAAATGAACACAAACTGCCACTGACTGCTCTCTCCAGACTAATGGATCAGTTTTAACAGGTAAGTCGCGTGTAACCTTGTGCTGTTTCGGTCACGTGGTGTCGGAGATATGAATATTTCAAGGACAGTCATCTTAATTGCACAAATCGGTGCAGGCTGATGTCGTTAATTGCAGCGATCACTTAAGTTATCCGTATTTTTACACATTAAAACACTTCACACAAGCTAAAATGTTGAACGGCATACGTGTGCTTAGGTTTCACCGGGAGTACTAATATACTTCATATCATGTGAGACCCCTGAAGATCAAGGGTAGAATAGGTCTTCAGCAACCCATACTTGCCGTAAAAGGTGTCAATGCTTGTCGAAAGAGGCGACTAACTGGATCGGCCGGTCAGGCTCGCTGACTTGCATGAAGCTTCGGATTGTACTGTGTCGTAACGCCTCGTCACGTGAATAGATATTTATATATCATTTGTTGTTTAGCAATATTTTGATGTATGTGTCTTGGTAAGTGTGAGTTATGTGTTGAAGAAGTAACTAATATCGACATCGGATCAGAACGAATATAATTAATCGTACAACCCTACGAAGGGAAATCAATTCTTTAGTAAATTACCTTTGAGTTAGCTTCAAACAACATGATTCGTAGCCGAGAGAGACTGATCTCAGATATAACCACAAGTGTTCTTAATTATCATCTTGTGTTTTTTAAAAAGGCTTTGGCTCTAAACTCCGCCTAGCAATTGTGCTCTTTAAACAAATGAGGAAATGCCCGATTGTTTACATTCCTAAAAAGAGATTACAGTAGTTTGGATAGGAATGAAACTTTTAGCGCTGACTTAATTGTTTACCCCAGTACATGTTAAAACGGTTTCAATGTACTCGGATCTGTCTTGACAATAGGTTTATTGTGTACACGAGGACCACAGTAAACTACGGTTATAACGAACTCTATATATACTATTTTTAGTTCGTTATAACCGTAGTTCGTTATAAGCATATATACAGCATAACTACAGCAAATAGTCGGGACTAAAAAGTTAGTTCGTTATATCCGTCAGTTCGTTATAAGCATGTTCGTTATAAACGTAGTTTACAGTATATACATTTTTAATATTCAACACCTATTATGATGTTTCTGTTGTCAATGAAACACTGTGACCGTAGTTGCTGTTTTTACCTTGAGTTTATGAACCTTTGCACCTTACAAAGCATCTCTTTGCTTAAGTGACGGACCATTAAATGCTCTCAGTGTAGGGGTAGGGGAGAGGGGTGTTTGGGGTGTCTTTCTTTTCTTGTCTTTTCTTTCTGTTAGAGTGGGAGTAGGGTGTAGGACAGAAGTTTTCGAAACACGTAATTATTTCAGTTACTGCTTGAAAACATGCGATTATTTTCTCTGAAAGCTGGCAAAAGATTTTGGGAGCCCCACAACACACCACTCTACAGAATAACCACCATGCCCAGTGAACACACACACACACACGCACGCACGCGCGCCAACTTACCAGAACATCAAATTGTCATCCCCTCAATATGTGTAAACTACATGTTTGTTTGATGGTGGCTAAACGTGAAACAAACAAGAAGTGGTTTATTCGATGGTGATATATTTATTACGGGTGTGATAGGCGATATTATACGCGCCATGTCAATGCATATCTCACAACAGGCGACAGTTTTCAGCCTAGTTACTGTTGCAAGTTTTGGGCCAAATCAAAATTTAAAGTGTATTCTTTCCTTAACCCGGTGAAGAGCTTTGCCCTCCGCTGTTGAACTGTGCAACAAGAGCGGAACGATCTTAACGTCAAAAACCAGGAGACGTGATCAAGTACGTTTCGGTGTTTGTCAGTAGTCAGTGAGTGAGTGAGTATGGTTTTACGTCGCTTTTAGCAATATTCCATCAATATCAGGGCGGGGGACACAAGAAATGGGCTTCACACATTGTACCCATGTCGGGAATCGAACCCGGGTCTTCGTCGTGACGAGCGAACGCTTTAACCACTAGGCTACCCGACCGCCCCTTGTCAGTAGTCATGCTGTAAATATACTGTGGTATAAACGTGACTATCCACACAAATTAATTATGTCACGAGGTGGCGCCTGATCCGTTCAGTGTCAATTATACAACCATGAAATGAGTGATGCATCATTCTTCGTACATATCAGCTGTCAGTCTGTCACTCACCTGTCTGACTCAGACTCTTAAGCCTGAGACACGTTCACATTGAAACACGAAAACATGTCAGCTGATTGTTTTTTGTGAAAATACTTCCTTTTCAAAATGGAGTCACATTGTAAAAGGTGAGATGTTTTGTTTATTAATATGTTTTCATCGTGAAAGAACAATTTATTTCTTTGATATATGCAGTTATTTAATTTTAGGCATAGGAATAATATCAGTTATATAACACTGTTTTAGTGTTTATGTACACCAGAGTGTATATGGTCTATGCTACGAATTGCTAACATATTACAGATACGAGAACATATACTAGCATGCATGTGTAGTGCAAAGCTCACATCAGCTTATTCATCAACCTTATATAACATGAACCAGAAAGATGTGTTTATTCCGTATATTTTTCAGATTGAGTTTACTTGACTTTATTCCGATATGTAAATAATCGTTTACTTTAACAATGTAACCATCAGTTTCCTTGTCGATGATATTAACGCACACAGAAAATGCACTTTAAACGGGGCTTATTTATCCCAAGTGTTGTGTTTGGGCGACTGAATGACCGACAGTTTCCCAGCCCGCTGTTCAGATACAGCAAGGCTACGATACGATACGATACGTATCGCGATACAAAGGCCACGATACGATACTATCGCGATACACATATTTACGTTAAAGCATGTTGAAACCTTTTTGACTGTGAATATTGCAGAACATGATCATATTGAAAAGCTAGCTGTAGATACTTGTTCGAAGCGGTTATTTTTAGTTGTGAGCTTGGAATGCTAATTACAACATATTCTGCAATATTTGACAAAAACATTAAACGAGTAGTAATCATTAAACGAGTAGTATGTTATATGTTTACGTACGTTTTTCGTCGTGTATTGATACAGAAAAACAACCCGTATCGTGTATCGTATCTTCGCATGAAAACTTACGATGCACCGGTGCACCGATGAATCGTTCCACCCCTAGTTTTGAGTTGGGGAAGACCAGAAATGGATTTCACACATTGAACCTTGTAAGTGACGAGCGGACGCTTTAACCACTAGGCTAAGGTGTTCTGTTTCAGGTGTGCTCAATATATAACAGACAGTGACAAAAGTACAGTAAACTACGGTTAAAACGAACTGACGGATATAACGAACTTACTTTTTGGTCCCGACTATTTGCTGTAGTTATGCTGTAGTTATGCTTATAACGAACTACGGTTATAACGAACTAAAATTAGTAGTCCCCTTGAGTTCGTTATAACCGTACTTTACTGTATGTCTGTAACACGTGAATTATGGAGTACAATACTTTATGAAACTAACCAGTTTCCATCCAAGGATGTGTGGAACAAAATCGTACAGACTGAAACTGAAACAGAATGTGAAACTGCTCATTGGCACACATGTCGGTAAGATCGCCGTGAATAAAACCGATTTAATAAAATCCACAGAAAGCTTGTACCACACAGACTGTGGAATATGTGTATTATGTGCACTATGCCAAAGTGATCTATGTATGCACTTGTCAAGCTGGGAACACTACCAATAACACCTGGACAGTGTTTAATGTGTGATGACGAGTGCGATGACATAATAAAGCACCAACTGCTATGTTGTACGGCTTTAGCTGATGCAAGAAACACCCTATGAGCATCTATTTGATACCTTAAACCTTGTGACATTACTAGGTGGTATAACCCTTATTGTAGAGGACATGAGCCTTGACAGCTGGGCTGAATTCATATCTTCTGTATCACGAGACATAAGCTCCTAGAACCTGCGATCAATGCTCTATCTATAGACAGTATATCTCATACCAGGACCAAGACATGTAAATATTCAGTATTGTGAAACATTCCATTTTTCTGCATAATGATCTTGTAAATATGTTGTGTTAACATGACTACAAATGTATATCACTCTCCGAAATTCATTCATTCATTCATGCGTATGTTCCTCACACACAATGAGGTCATATCACTTAGTCAGCGAGGGTAAGCTTCAAGAGTGCCTATGTGTCTGACTTACTGACACAGTTAACAGTATCTCCTACTTCATGCGATAAATGTGACAGTCTATCCTGAAAATCTACGCAAACGTCTATGAGAAATGTTGCACCTGCATCAACGTCTAAGGCGCCGCTATTCGCTGTGCAGAGTTGCGTCCCTTGAAACTTATAATTGTGGGCTCGAATTCGCTCCGATAACATTTCTAGGTTTGTCAGCACCATGTTTAACAGCTTGAATCACGTGACATAATATCCTACAACAGTTGTTGAGGTATTCATTGATTTCGTTATCATTTCAAAATCATTTCCACTCCTGCATTCAGGTATTTTGGGAAAAGAATCAGGAACATAAGTACCAGTAATTAGGGATCATTATCCCTTTCCTGGAGATCAAGCCAATTATTCCTGATCTATAGCATTTCCGCTAATGCGCATGTATGAAGAGCCATTTTGAATACTATTTTGCTGTTACATATTTCTTATACATCATTTAGATGCCCAGTCGTCCAGTCACCATGGTAACATCACATCTATGACGTAACTGCAACCACTTCTTGATCAGTCGTCTCTGCCAGATGAACAACCGTCGGCTCCCCCCGCTGCCCTTCAAGGGGAAGAGGGCACTCACCCCCCGGGCGAGTCAGCGGTCGCCCAGCTCGCCACAGCCACTTCCGGTGCCAGAAATGGTCATCACAGGTACTGTGTTAAACAGACACTGAGTGTCTAATGCTAGTACTTGTTCTAAATGTCTTTTAATATATATTAGAAAAAGAGATTAACGCATATATTAAGTTTACAGAGCCTACGAAGCCATTGTAAACTTGCGTGCAAATATTTTAAGAAACACAGATCTTACAGGATCTGTATGACATCTTCGTTAAAGAGCATTAAGCATGAGTAAAATAGTAAAGGAAACAAATAAGGGCACCTTAAATCGGATAAAACTTTAAATGAGTGAGTGAGTGAGTTGGGTTTAACGCCGCGTTTAACAGTATTCGAGTTATATCACGGCGTGTCAGCTTAATGTGGGAGGAAAGCCCCAAGTGATGCAGGTCTTGGACGTTTACCACTTCGGTGAAACCCACGAGCACGGGTATGGTGCTGACAAACCTAGAAACATAATCCGGGCGAACCGGGATTCGAACCCACAATCATAGGTTTCTGTTGTGCCCAAGGGACGCAACTCTGCACAGCGAATCGCGGCGCCTTAGACAACTGGGCCACCCGTGCCCCCAAACTTTAAATGAAGCCATCGACTGATACCTAAAGTAACAGGTGAGATTCGTATGTTAAAGTGGGAATTCCCTTTCTGCACACACCAGTGTTGCTAATACCACTAAAGACGAGTGTGTAGAAGAGCCCCATGACGCTAAAATTAGCACGATAATATATGTAAGCCTCGTTGTAGGACAAGCAGTGCTTGGAATATGCTCTCGATGATTACCTTTAGTTGTGTGTAACAAGCCAAAGTAACGATCAGATAAAGAATATATATCAGGACCATTTTACAATATCTCATCAAGTTATCATTCGATTTTCCATAAATCCTTAGAATAATAGGGGTCCATTTCCGGCCCATTCAAACAATCGCAAACCTTTATACTTCAAAGAAATAAATATTATATGTTTGCTTATAAAAGCACAGTAACAAACATCAAACATCATAGCACTTACGTTTTCTTTCGTGTTGAATTCTAAAAATAATCTGTTATCACCATCGAAATACACGCTTTTACAGGGTGTCACGTTCAACACATCCCACTCACATTCTTGTCGACCCGGGAAGATCCGAGGTGGAATAGGTCTTCAGCAACCCTGCTTGCCGTTAAAGGCGACTTTGCTTGTGGTAAAAGGCGACTAACGGGATCGGGGGGTCAGGCTCGCTGACTTGGTTTGATGCATGTCATCGTATCCCAATGGCGTGGATCGATGCTCAGTCACTGGATTGCCTGGTTCAGAGTCGATTATTTACAGACCGTCGTCTTGTTGCTGGGATATTGCTGATTGCGGCGTTAAACATCAAACAAACACATGTTTGTCTCCTAGAGTAGTTGTACCAGTACGATACAAGGACACAACAGTAACACAACTAATAAAGCGTTCAGAATGTCACCCAAAATGTTATATTATTTATTTTTTGTATTTCACGGCGGTTATCATAACGTAAAGGAGAATAAGCTCCGTCATATAGCTGGAATATTGCTGAGTGCCGCGTTAAACAACACACCAAGAAAACAAATATACAATTTGGGGTACGACATTCTCAACGCTGATTGAGTTACTTTACGATTGTGTCCCTGTATAACGTAACGGAGAACTATTTCCTGGATATTTTCAAAATTCATTTCTTTGGTCACCTTGTTCTTCACAACCAACGGATGAGTGGGTGAGTGAGTTGGGTTTAACGCCGTTTTTAAAAGCATTCCAGTTATATCACGACGTGTCAGCTTAATGTGGGAGGAAAGCCTGAAGTGATGCAGGTCTTAGACGTTTACCACTTCGGTGAAACCCACGGGTATGGTGCTGACAAACCTAGAAACATAATCGGGGCGAATCGGGATTCGAACCCACAATCATAGGTTTCTGTCGTGCCCAAGGGACGCAACTCTGCACACCGAATCGCGGCGCCTTAGGCGACTGGGCCACCCATGCCCCCACTAACGGATGATGACAGGTAAGTCAAAACATACAAATGTGTATTGCAAACACCTGGTGCCATCAGTGGAACTCTACAGTATTTCATTCGTGAATTAAGTTATCATTAACATTTGGTTTGAACCATTTCTTCCGACAAGTGTTCCCCGGGGAACTGAACTTTCTACTTTGTTGTTCCTTGGTGTATAAATGTGAATAAATCCATTAATTGCTTTGGGTACGATGGTCAATAACCCATTATCTCAGGTAAATGAGCGCGTATTGGAGAAGGGCGTGGTGAGAGTTGAAGAATGCAAACAACGGTATGGCTTCTTCAATCAGTGGCAATCACCACATAACGTTTGCGGACAGACTCTACTGATTATCATATAATATGTACAAATATCAGTGATTATAATTAGAAAGGAGACTCAAGTGGCCAGTCGTCTAAGATGCTGCAACTTCGCTAAATGTATTGTACCTAATAAAGTCGATATATTTTATTTAATATCATAGATACAAATACGAAATTTTGGAGCTCGATTGTCGCATGTTGTCGTTGTACAAAGGCATTGAAAACTGTTCATTGTCATGTCACAGAAGGCCACAAGGTTGCGCTGAACTCAGTATCTCGTGTGACCGCCCTGGTCAGCAATCACGGCTCTGCATCTCCTCGGCACTGACTGGAAAAGTGAACGAATTCTGTCCTGCGGAATTCTGCGCCATTCTGCTTGTAACGCGTTGGGCAGTTGTGGGAATGTATGCGGCGTGTCCTGACATTGACATACACGTCGATCGAGTTCATCCCAGAGGTGTTCGATTGGGTTGAGATCTGGAGATCTCGACGGCCAGGGCAAGGCGTTGATGTTGGAATTATGAAGCTGTCAAATTTCCCAGGACCACAACCAAGTCACACACCATGACACTACCGCCACCGAATTTGTCGAATTCACGTACACAATGTGGGGCAAAACGCTCATTTCGACGACGATAAACAAGTTGTCTTCCATCTCGCCGGTGAAAAAGAAATCGTGATTCATCGCTAAACCACACTCGTCTCCAGTTTCTCAAATGCCAAGGCTGTAAGGTATGGCACCAACGCAAGCGTCGCTGTCGATGGATCTGTTGCAAAACATGAACGATAACTGGTCTTCCAGCCTCGCGAAGATGGTTCCTGACAGTCTGGTCCGATATCCTCCTCAAACCATGGATGTGTCCTGCAGTCTCCATAGCTGTGGCATTGCGATGACGTACACTTTAGGTGGAACAGTCGAATGTAGCGTTCCTGCACATGGGTGGTAACTCTTGGTCGGCCGATTCTCGGACGGTCTGCAGTGGAATTGAACTGTGTGTATCGGTCACAAAGTCGGCAAATGGTGCTGTGATGGACGTTGAAGTGGCGTGCAAAAGAAGACTGCGATTCCCCTCTTTGGATACGTCCTATGGCGATGTACCGATCGGCAGCGCTGAGACTCGGCATTTTCGAACTTGAAAAATGTTGACAATTGAATGAAAAATTATTGGCTTATGCTTGCCTTTTTATAGCCAATACCACGAGTTGCGAATGCCATAACTTGCACGTGCATTTTGCTTTACTGTTTTCCTCCATGACATTTTTTGAACAAGTGTGAAAACAATGCCGTATAAGACATTGCAAATCGACAATGGCTGCGTTTTGACATTTTCCAATAACATATATCAAATTTATATACCGGATTTTTTTGTGTAGTTATGTTCAGTGAACTACATACTACCTGTGCGTTTCTTTTTTTGTATCACTTTGGGCTAGAACTATAAGACGGCATTAGTCCAGACTAGTACAACGCAGCCCCACACGAGCACGCACGCACGCAAGCACGCACGCAAGCACGCACGTTCCTATATAAGTCCAATAACCTTGAACAAAATGTTAAACCTCATTTCACCTCATCTCACCTCATACAAATCTATTCTCTATTATACGTGATAAACTCCACGTTACCATGGAAAGTAGCATCTGTTCCTCCCAACTGCTTGCATAAATAGCAGCAACTTGTGAACAAGCTACGGGGTGTTCCTGGAAGATCTATCTATAATTCACCGAGCTCACTTTGTCAGGCAGATTCAACTACTTTAGGAGACAGAGTCATCAGCCTTCCGTGACGAACTATTTTTGAAACAAGAAACTTTTTTATAGTTCCCCTGTAACTGGTAGGTTAAAACGTACGGTTATAGATATCAATGATATTAGATAATTGAATTATGCGTGCGTGTATTGGACGACGTTATTTTTGAGAGAGGGGTCCAGTGAGTTATTCCCCATAGATGTAGCTGGGCAACGTTTATTTCGTATATGAGATATCAACATTATGTGAAATGTAGACACAAAAATAGTGACTTGCATGGTACATTTTTTTTTTCACTGGTGCGTCAAATTTGGAAACAAGGCCTCACTGCTGGACAAACTATAGTCGATATATATATAGAGAGAGAGAGAGAGGGAGAGAGAAAGCGTTTATCAATGTTGTCTCGACTATATTTGGACCCTCTCGGTTTATTCCGTTATCAACGTTAGGGCTTCAACGGGTCGAATTTGTTCGACTCGAGTACCCTATAATGAGAACGTTTTGATGACGTATTTTTGTTAGTCTGTTGTTAAACGCCGCGCTCAGCAATATTCCAGCAACATGACGGTGGCTTGTATCGAGCCTGGACCAGACAATCCAGCGATTGACATCATGAGCATCGATCCATGCAATTGGGACCCGATGACATGCATCAACCAAGTCAGCCAGCCATGACCACCCGACCCCGTTAGTCGCCTTTTACGGCAAGCATGGGTTGCTGAAGACCTACTCTAACCCGGATCTTCACGGGGCTGATGATGTAGTGAATAAGAGTTCAGCGTGTAAGCGTATCTAGCCTTTTTTCAAGGGAATAAAAGCAAAAAATATATAACTTAACTCAAATAAAATGTAAACACCCCAACCTAATTATCTTAACTTTCTGGACAAGGCAAGGCAATGAGACTGACGTTCATTAAAATGTCTATAGAAACTTGCGACGAAATGAAGATATATAATACATGTATATAAGTTTTCTACTTCGGCCAAATACTCGCTGTTTGTTTTGGAACAACAGGAAATTGGTTTGAAAGATTAATCATTTGAAATCTGTTTGCAACATGAGCTTGTGTGTGACTGGATAACTGACGGAATTCTCATCCAATGAAATTAAGAAGAGAAGACTTGTTATCAATGCTGTTATATATATACTGTATACACCAGCTCTCATTGGCAGCGTAGATTGTTTGACTAAATTAATTTTCTCTTTCATATACAACATGTGAACGGAAATGAACAAAGTGTGTGAATTAATGTTATCTCCTATTAGCGAGTACTCAAGTCTTCGAAAACGGAATCGAGCTTTGCTGAAACCGACCCGGTCGGAGTTGGAGCACTAACCTACGTACACTTGTGAGATTGAGGTGTGGTACCGACTAATGTCTGTGTCACAAGCAGAAGTCAGCACCTGCTGAGACAATACATTGATAATGGTCGCTAAGTGATGCCCTTCCAGATGAACTGCTGCCTTTCAGAGAACGACGGAGATGCAATTAGCAGAATAGCAACCCTTACTTTTCATGATTATCACACCTGCTCCATCCTTGAAGGGAGGCGCATACGAATAAAGATTCAGATGTAAATCGTTACTGAAAGAAATGGTTGAAGAAACATGGCATTTTAATGGAAAAAGTAGTAGTTCTGGAAAAATCGGGAGAAATTACTTATGAAACAGAAAAAAAGAAATTGCCTTCCACAAAAATTACATTTTTGCATGGCGTTTTTCTTTAAAAAAAACCTTCAGTTTCACAGTTTCTGTAGCTGGTACCCGCAGAATATCACATGGTCGGTCCCTTGGGGCCGGACAAACTGTTGAGTTAATATTGCATGAGCACAGTCAACTCCGTCGGGGTAAGGGGGTCAGAATATCAGACATTGTAACCGCCAGATCTCTATTTACGATAGGCACAAGATACAGATCTGCCCCGAGAACTTCCAAGTGATACAACGTTAAACAAAGTCCTTCAGTTGTGTGTACATGTTAGTCCTTTAGCTGTCCAACGCCGCACTATTCCAGCTATATCTGGACTTGACAAACCAGTGATTGATATCATGAGCAACGATCAACGCCGTCGGGGTACAATGACACGACATCAATCAACTGATCACCCCATCCATGCAGTCGCCCTTACGCCCAGCACATGCCAGTGCAAATTCTGACCCAGAATTCCCCCAGTGTGTGTACATATCAATTATCGACGTCATGAGACATTACCAACTAACATCACAACAGATGATCTTAATATGCTTCAACATGCCTCGAACACAACAATTATGCACATTTCAGTAGAGATATTCCGTCTTATATCGACATTCTGATAATTACTAGAACAGTTCTCTGCATAAAGAGAACATCACTCATAACTTCTGAGACTCGTCACATGTGTATATTCATGCGCGGTTTGTGTATTGTAAGAAGCAAAATTGGCGTGCTGTTTACTTAATCGATTTTAATTAATGATAACGGTAACGTCATTGTCTCTGTTGCCATGGTAGCAGTGAGTTTTATTCCCTTGCGAAGCACTGTTTTCAGGATTCAGAGAAGAAAGACTGTCTGATATTCCCATGGGGAACAGAAAAACCGTTATTCACATCGGTTTTTCTTATTTTTAATTGTCTGTTTTATAAATCGTGCAATCTGATTGGTTGAATGGGCTTTTTCCTTATAAAGCTCCATGGCCAAAACGTCATAGACAAAGTCTGCCCACACATACCCTTTTCCCTATAACGTAGTGGTTGTATTTACAATACGTAATTAAAGTGGATTGTATGGACAACAACGAATTAGACTACGAATTGTGGGTTATCTTTCCTTCGAGAATTAATATGGTAAATCTGGCACCAACGGTCTCGCATTTCTCACCATTTTCCTCAATTGCAATCAGGCTGCATGTGATCGAGTTTCCAAGCTTTCAATACTGCAAAGAAACCAGACTGGATTTAACCATACGCCCTAATTTTACAAGCAACATTTTATTCCACGAAAGACATTCCCTTCGGCCATTTCACTAATAGCTGAAGGTTATATTGTAAGCAATCCTAACGGAAGCATTAGTAATGCACGCTCGCGGCAACATCGTGTACGGACAATGCCTACAATTAACTAATTACTTCACGTGTGCCAGGAAAGCACCCATTTGTGTATTGAAAATTCTCCGAATATGTGGTACATCCTGTTTCACATAATGGTTATTAGCAGCGGAAATTGTCTGAGTGGGTCGTGTTTAATGTGTTTTTTTCGCAGCTTTAGACCAGTGCTTTGTTTGTGTCTCTGTACCGTTATGTGTGTGTTGTCTAACGCAATAGTCCAGCTACATCACGGCAGTATGTAAACAATCGCGTCTGAACCACACAATCAAGTAATTTACATCGCGAGCCTCGATCCACGTAATCGGGATAGATTGAGATGCAGTCAACGAAGTCTATCAGTTTCAGCACCCGATCCATTTACGACAACCATATTGGTATCTGGGGACCTATATTCTTACCTGTCCCCATGGGATAGGATGAGATGCAGTCAACGAAGTCACCAAGTTCAGCACCCGATACATTTACAACAACCATATTGGTATCTGGGGACCTATATTTCTTCCAGTCCCTATGGGATAGGATGAGATGCAGTCAACGAAGTCAATCAGTTTCACCACCCGATCCATTTACGACAACCATTTTGGTATCTGGGGACCTATATTCTTACCTGTCCCCATCGGTCCATATATTTGTATTGCTAAACATAAATATATATGGTTGGAAAGTATACTGTATAAGATATATCGATATACTGGTCAACGTTGCAAACCGTGAGGCCACACACAATGTCACCACCTAATCTCCCCGTACTGACCACCATTATTCACGTTTCCGATTCCGTTATTTTACAAAGTTATAAAATTATCAAAAGACAACAGTCAAATAAAATGTGCTATGAGAAATATTCGTTTCGGACGGTGATACACACATTGTCTTTTGTACACCTCACAAACTACTCGTGCACGTGCAGCCGTTCACGTCTGGTGGTGTTCAAAATGTGAATTTCAGTGAAGTTTATTTAGTTAAAGAATCTTTCACTTTGAGAGACGTTACACTTGGAAAAGATCACCCTCAATTCGTAAATCAGAGTACATCTGAGGTAACGGTATCATTGTTGCTAGTTCACTGAAGCGTATTAAAATCTCCCGGCAACGCCCAAAGTCAGTCACAGATTGTTCTGCTGCGAATGTTGATAAAACAGCACCTATGTCGAATGTAAAACAATACTTTCTTTCTGATATTAATTAATTTTTCTTTCTTAAAGACCTTGTAAAAAAATATTGTTCCGTTCTCAAATGACTAGTTCATGTCGTGTATTGAAATAGTCACATTTATCAGAGACCGTTCTTCGGTATATGTATCTACCGTTATGTTAGGAGCGGGCAGGAGGTATGAGAAGGTACGTTATAGTGGCTTCCTGCCTCTCTCCCAGTTAGGGATGTCACAATATCTGAACTTTAAATCAGAAATCAGAAATCTATCCCGCTTTAATTTACCTGTCTTCTCGATGACTTGATCATAGCGAGCTAAGCTAGCTGTGTTTATAAACGGCATTGTCACAACTTTTTCAAATGAAACATTATTCACTTTTACTTCAGGTTACAGCACTATACAAGGGTCTGGTAACCATGGAGGCAACCTAGGAGGCATAAACAATGGCAGAATAAACCTTCATGGTAAGTATACAAAATGTTTCAAAATGGTTAAAAACATTGTAACAAACATGACCTTCCAATATTCAGCCATATTCGATTTATTCTCTGATTTCTTCAGCCTAAACAAACAGACAAAAAGAACAAGGGAGCTCATCGGATGTCGTCATTTGGAAATACCCCAGATGGTTATAGTTTAATACTTAAAACAGTATCCATGCAGTGAAAGCATTTTCGGATTTCGGCTTGCGTCGATAATACGATTACTACTCCCTTGTTGTCATCCACGTTTTCTCGTATAACCCTACACTTGTGTATTTGTCGTCATTCACTTGATGCTCAGTTAATGAATTTATTACAGGTACAATTAGTGGTAGCACCACTTATATTACCTGACAAAGGTTCCCATTTGGCATTTATTGTGTCTGGGGTAATTATTCAATCTAAATCCAGGTTTGAAGTGAGGTGAAATGTGTGTTATGTAATATGCACGTGGCAGCCCAGCAAGAGATGAATGATCAGTTGATTTACTTTTTTTGTAAATCAACGGATCGTTCCTAGTCATCAAAGGATTAACAGAAAATACGTTGATTGATTAATCACTGTTATCTTGCACAGTGGATATGTCAAGAGTGAGTGTTTACATGTCTAGGTTTACTAAAACAAAGGGAATACACTCATATCATGGCGCGAAGTGCCGATGTAAAAAGAACATACTTTGTTCAAAGGGTTAACTGATAATACGTTGATTGATTGATCATTGTTATCTATCACTCAATGGAATTTTTAGGAACCGTGGACGCTATGAAAATAGTTGTCACGTGGGCTTTCTCAGCCGACCTTTGAGACTTGACACCTATGTAAAACACCTGAAACAATCCAAGCGATCAGTTGAGAAACGAACACGGGTTATAATATCCCGAAACGATATATATCTTTTAAAATATTTGATTGTTACTGAGACACGTGACATCGAATAAGTTTCTTTGTGCAGCTGCAGACGAGTGGGATATTGTTCCTTTGTGTGGATGTTCACAGATACATTCCTCGAACAAGGAAGCTGCCTAAAACTTATACACATAAATTTGGTAGGTTGTAATTATGATATCTGCATTTTGTTTTCCTTCATTTGAACCGATTCGTTCTTGTTTCTCTACGTCTTGGTTGGGAAATTCTTCAATGCCCGATAGACGTTGTTGTCACAGGTCTTTTCCTTTGTAAGCGTGTATATATTACCGTCAATTTGTAAAATGTGATTCTCTCAGGCAATTTATAAAATGTGTAAATATTTCAGTCATTTTGACTAAAACATCTGTCCAGATTGATCAAGATGATCAAAAGGGCCTACAAACATCACAACAGATTATTATGTAGGATTAAAAGCCAAACAACTTAGAAATGTACTTTTCAACGTTACATTTTCAGTCTCTTGGTGATGACATTAAACATCAAAATGTTTGGAATTCGTTGTCATAATAATACAGATGGAAATGTTTTTCAGTCTCTTTGTAAAATAACTGAATATTTAGACGTTTAATAAATTTGTTACACATTTGACAGTAAAAAAATATACACACTATAAAAAAAGCATATGCTCAGGTGAAATATATACTTTGTGTTGCAAGTCAAAATAGTGTAAACGAAAATCGCAAAATTACCGAGCAAGTGACCATTACCGATGCTACTCACAAAGATACCTACATTTCCTTATTATCTCGAAAACTGTATTTCATTTTGTTGATCAATGTGACCATACGCCCTTATTACTACCCATAAAAGTGACTAATGCGCTTACGAATGGCGCAGCAGAGGTCGCGAACTAGTCTAGATTTCTGCTATACATCCGGGTATTCACTGGGGAAAAACAATAACAAAGGCAACAACCAGTCCCGGGGAATTGCGTTAGATCAGTGCCCCTTTAAACTTAGTCTCAGCTTAGATTTTTAAGAATAAAAACTAAAAAGACAGCTTTTAAACATCTACCGTATTCGACGTAATAAGCGCCCCGCTCTAATAAGCGCCCACCGCGATATTTGCTAATATATTGGCTAGTGAACAATCCCAATTAGCTCCCCTTCCGATTGATCAATGTTCACAAGACTTATTGATTCGCGTATAATACGCAGCGGCACGCGTAGGCAATTAAATTCTGGAAAAATATCTGTCGTATATAAACATTTCACGCTGTCAGCATAAATCTCGAAATTTATCCCTTTTTTTTCACCAAAATAATTTTCTAATAAGAGCCGCCATTTCTAATTTTGAGAGCGCCCTGGGCGCTTATTACGTCGAATACGGTATTTGGTTGTTTTTTCAATGACCAGTGCAACCCAATTCTAGAGTGATAATTACTGTAGCCTGATAATTATGTTTTTAAGTATTCACATGCATTGGCTAAACGACTGATTGTGGTTAGGAATGTGTTTCAGGTAGTTTTTTCTTGCACTTTTCGTTGTTTTAATAGCGGTCCCAGAGCTCCAGATAAGCTTTTGGTGTTGTGAGTATTTTACCCATGCATTTTAAAATCATTGGGTATCAGTAATTCTATCTGCGTATTCAAATTTCTGTTACCCACTAGTTTTTACACATGTGGGTATTTAAGTTAAATATTTAAAAACACTATTCAGCTAGTCCCTGCAAACTGGCGTCGTGTGGGTTCGAAAGCTTTATAGGACTCAAAAATACCAAGATACTTCCACAAGAAAGTGTGATGGCAAATGATCATGATGTAACTGTCATCGTGGAGTTTGGCAAGGTTGACGGAATGCCCGTTTATAATTTCAAAATAAGTTGCTGATTTGCTAATCGAATACGCAGGGTTACTTCACAATATTTTGATGATACACACAAGTTTTATTTTTGTAGCGTATCTGTAATGTTCGTTGCGTATTTGATACGCTTGGATTATATTTTACTGTGTATTTCTGCATTTCTGATGCGTATTTCACGCAGATACGCAGCTTATCTGGAGCTCTGGGTCCATATTCCAGGTTTCATAAAAGCATTCAATCAGTGTGACATAGGCATAAACGAGATATCACTGTTGATCAGTTAATCATACTGTGAATTTACCCAGTCCTATTCATAGGCGGATCCCCAGGGGGTGTCCAGGGTGCAGGAGTCTGCCCCCCCCTGAAATCCAAATGTAGTATTTTGTAGGTAGTAAAATTGTCTGAGAGGGGATTTTGATGGTTTGGTCCCCTCTCTAAAAATTTTGGGTCTGCCCTTGCTATTGATGCTTGCTGGCATGTGTTCATTTTTGTTTGATACCTTATGCTGGGTATTTACAGAAAACTATGGTTACCGTTTTCGACGTAATAAGCGCCCCGCTCTAATAAGCGCCCACGGTGACATTTGCTAAGATATTGGCTAGTGAACAATTCCTATTAGCACCCCTTCGGATTGATCAATGTATACAAGACTTATTTATTTGCGTATAATACGCACTCATATGTTATATGCACCCTTAATTATGGGCATTTAATTCTGGAAAAATATATCTGTCGTACATAAACATTTCAGGCTGTCAGCATAAACCACGAAATTTATCTTTCAACTGGTTTTTTTCACTAAAATAACATTCTAATAAGAGCCCCCTATTTCTAATGTTGAGAGCGCCCTGGGCGCTTATTACGTCTAATACAGTATCACAGACTCAAAAGGAGAATTAAATTTAGGTTTGTTATAACCATAGTTTGTTATTAGCATATCTACAGCATATATACAGCAAAAGGACGGGACCAAAAAACAGTTTGATATATACGTCAGTTCGTAATAAGCGTGTTCGTTATAAACATAGTTTATATTAGTGTTCATATAATTTTCAGACTGTTGAAAAAAATGGATGCCACATAAAAATACACAGTTGCAAGATGGTGTGTGTTTTTTTTAAATATTTAGGCTCATAGTTTCAATAAAAAATATATCGAGTTTAGCAGCTGTAGCTGAAATAATACCAAGTCTCCATACAGAATCCCAACCACCCAGAATACAAATTGTCAGTCCCTAATCAATTCAAAAACATATCAGTTGATATGTAAATGTAATGCACTGACTAGTGTATAGATTTTCCTTCTGAATATGTCAGCAATAACTTCAATGATAAAGGGCAGAGATCATAGTCCTAGTTGTTAAACGCCATGCATTCAAAGTCATAACATTCTTATCATGAAATAAATCTTTTATTTCCCAGCACAAACCTATGATAAATATGTATTTACTGATAAGTGTATGCTTACAAGCCTCATATTTCTGTTATATACCTTGGCCCATGTGAGCTTTGGTGAAAATCTTACCCCACGTGGTGTTTGTGTCAAATTTCCACATTAGGCTTGATAAATCTCCTTACACCGCTGAAGAAAGCTGTAGTGCACATAGCAGTGTTTGTTTTTACGTATGTCTCATAAGCAGAAATTTAATCTGACCGTCAGTAAATACACAACAGCCAGGGTTGACGTTCAGTTTCAATGTGTGCTAATCATATCAAGTTATAGACTGAAGAGGTGTTAGTGTGGGGTGTTTCTTTGTGGGGTTGGAGGGTATTCCAAGGCTGTGTTACTGTGGGGTGTAGGGTGTTTCTTTGTGGGGTTGGAGGGTATTCCAAGGCTGTGTTATTATGGGGTGTAGGGTGTTTCTTTGTGGGGTTGGAGGGTATTCTAAGGCTGTGTTATTATGGGGTGTAGCTATAGGGTGTTTCTTTGTGGGCTTGGAGGGTATTCTAAGACTGTGTTACTGTGGGGTGTAGGTGTTTCTTTGTGAGGTTGGAGGGTATTCTAAGGGGGTATTACTGTGGGGTGTAGGTAGTTTCTTTGTGGGGGTGGAGGGTATTCCAAGGCTGTGTTATTATGGGGTGTAGGGTGTTTCTTTGTGGGGTTGGAGGGTATTCCAAGGCTGTGTTATTATGGGGAGTAGGGTGTTTCTTTGTGGGCTTGGAGGGTATTCTAAGACTGTGTTACTGTGGGGTGTAGGGTGTTTCTTTGTGTGGTTGGAGGGTATTCTAAGACTGTGTTACTGTGGGGTGTAGG